GGGGAGAACATACAAACTCCGCACACACAGGGCCACGGTGGGAATCGAACCCCCGACCCTGAAGGTGTGAGGCGAACGTGCTAAACACTAAGCCACCGTGCGCTTGTGCTTCTTCTTCTTCTTCTTCTTCTTCTTCTTCTTCTTCTTATTATTATTATTATTATTATTATTATTATTATTATTATTATTATTATTATTATTATTTTATTATATTTGTTTTCCAGAGATTGTACTTTTCCATACAATAAAGATGTCTTTAGAAAGATATCTATTTAACCGTATACATGCTTTATTAGAGTTCTTGAAATATAATAACACTTTAAATCCAATTTGAGATATTATTATAGTATGTTGTCTGGATAAAGACTTACATTCTGATAACTCGGTAACACTGGATTAATGTGTGTAAATGTAAACGTGGATTTTCGCCCAATACTCAGATTACAGTATTTGTTGCATGTATACAGTTAATCTGTTATAATTAGCTATTTTGAGACCAACGAAAGAAGGCATTATGTATAATTTGCAACCAGAACAAATGTTTAGATATTCATAGTTAGATACAGATCCTAAAAACTCGTTTGAAGCCAACCTACCAAATGTGCTTCCAATCAACTGACAAGAAATGCATAACATGGTCAATTTAACATGTAACTGTACTCAGTCAATAAACGTTTCATTTTAAATACCCCATTTTTAAATGCTGCTACCACCTTGCTATCATGCTAACAGAAATCTGGGTGATATTGAGTGACTTAACAGTTTCCCATTATTAGATAACTAAACTGCCTGTAAGCACACTGATCCTTACAATTATTACCCAATGTTTTTCCAGTTCTTAGATTATTCTACAGGATTGACTGTGCATATTACAGTAGGCCTCTTTTAAAGGAAAATCCCTTTAATCAAGTCTGCTGTTTCCAAAACAGCAGGAGTGAAGATTAACTGGCAGGAAGAGGTCAAGAATGGGGGTGATGTGACCCCCCAGGAGGAGGGGCTATACTGGGTCACTGCTTGTTCTGAGTATGCATACCCCATTTGGCTTCAGTCCTGATCACATGCTTGAGTGAAAAACAACAATACGATTGGCTGCTCCTGTAGTAAACAAACCGCAATGGAAGAAGAAGACCAACATGTGTGTCTCCAATGGTCCTAGCACCTCTGAATTTCAGCATTAATACAATCTTTAATCTATTATTTAATCTATTTTAGTGTAAAAGTTCATAACTTTGTCTTTTTAAGACATATCTGGCAACTTTCGGCTGTTCTCTACTTATTGAAACTTTCAGGCAGGAAGCTCAGGGTTTCACCTCACCTCATATGCCTTCTGTCAAGCTTGGAATTAATAGAAAAGCCCCATTTTAAAAATATTTATGAATTAAAAAGCACACGTTATATTCTACACCTATACTTATTTTCAGATGAACATGAACATATATACCTATGGCACCGAGGTCTGTATGATGATTACCCTTTCAAAACAGTGATTATAATGGCCAGTGTTATAGCTTTAACCAAGTACTGTGTACTACTAACTGATCTAAAGCCAAAACTACTGACAACTAATGGAAAATTAGAGAAGGAGATCTTTTCACAGGTCACATGATGATTTTAATGTCACTCTGTAATGGGGAACGAACGAGACTTCCCCAAGTTGATGATTTGAAGTTTCAAGTTAAGGGGTGTTTTCAGGGAGTTTTACCAGTTGTAGATGGGTAAACGTGTCCTCGAACGCAACATATGTCTTAAAGCGCACCTATTATGATTTTGAAACGTGCCTAATTTTGTCTCATGCAATATATTTACCTGCCTCCAAGGACAAAAAAAAACATTTTAATGTGCTCATCATTTAAACTGCAGAATTACCTCCTCCCCCCAAACACCCCAGCGTCACAAATGACTCGTTAAATGATCCGTTCTAAAGTATTCGATCTAAACTCCTCCTTTCAGCGAGCATACTCTGCTCTGATTGGTCAGATGTCCCAGTCTGTTGTGATTGGTTTACCACTGTCAGCGAGCAGCCGATGAAGACCAGAGGCGGGGTTTTTTGTTACAAACCTACGTACAGGAAGCGGAGTCTGGAATCACTAACGACTCATTTCAGCTGTTCAGAATTGGTTCCTTCTTTTGTTAGTCGATCACTCCGTTTGTCGTGCACTTTGATTTTGGAAACTTTGCAGACGTTTTACATTCACAAACAGCTCTATTACACGCTACATGAAAGGTGATAGCTGAAAAACCATAATAGGTGCACTTTAATGGACCTTGCTTTGTGCCCGGGGGCATTGTGATACTGAAATATTTTTGGGCCTCTCAGTTCCAGTGAAGAGCAATCTTCATGCTACAGCATACAAAGACATTACAGCCAATTGTGTGCTTCCAACTTTGTGGCAACAGTTTGAGGAAGAAACACATATGGGGTGTGATGGTCAGGTGTCCACAAATTTTTGTCTATATGGTGTAGGTATGATATAACTGTTTGAATTTATATAAGAACATTTGTTTTGCGTTCACTCCATACACTTTTTGTTTACACAGCCTAGCGTCTCGATTTTGGTCCTGCCTCCACTCCGGTCCTGTCACATTGGTCTGTTACCTAATGGGTGCACCTGTTCTGTGTTCAGGCCTTGATTGGTTTGTATATTTATGCCCTTCTGTTCCTTTGTTTCTTCACAAAGTTCATAAATGATATATTTGTATCGATTAAGTTACAAGCCATGTTTTCCTGTTTATTGTTTGTTCTGTTTTGGTCGTGTTCTGGTTCCATAGATTAACCCCTGTTTGAATATTGACAACGATTATTGGATTTGCCCTATTTGTCTTTAATTTATATATTCATTTTCATATGATTCATTTACATGTGATTCATTTTCATGTGACTCATATTCATGTAATTCATTTACATGTGATTCATTTTCATGTGATTCATTTACATGTGATTCATTTGCGTATGATTCATTTACATGTGATTCATTTTCATGTGGTTCATTTACATGTGATTCATTTGCGTATGATTCATTTACATGTGATTCATTTTCATGCAATTCATATTCATGTGATTCATTTACATGTAATTCATTTAAATAGGATTTCCCCTATTTAACAACACGCTGAGTTTATATACGTTCATCTTGCCTGTCACAAACGTTACAGTAATGTTAGCTGATCGCAGATCAGAAATTAGCTACTGGTGTAGTAGACATTCACCGTGCGATATATGAGATACGTCACATGAGAAACGTGTGACCTTCCAAACACGGGTTAAATACTAAAAGATTTCTCACATGGGATACAGCAGAGAAGGCTGTGCATTGATGTAGGCCTATTTGTCACATTTATTTATTTGCACATGTTGTTAATCTATGGGAATAAACTAATAAAAATACATTTTAAAAAATCAATAAGCTCTAAAATACTTCCCTTTAAAAGCTCTAAAGGGTTTTAGCCTGGAGGCTTGTACAGGGCTAATACTTAGATCTGGGTCCAGTGTCCCTAAAGCCTCACAACATTAAGTGTGTTCTTGTCTTCTTTTATGATCATTTCATGACGAGCTTAAAAAAAAAGAAGACGAATACAGAGTGCAATCTGTAACGTTTATCTCATAACATTTATCTCAACTGTTCGTGGTGCATCCAATTAAAATAAACAAGCTCTAATAGAATATGTTTTTATGATGAATATATTTTTTTCCTCTGGAAAGGAACATGTCTCACCAGAGACCCAAAGGGGTAGTATACATTAAAAGAGTGCAAAGCCCCAAAAGGAAAATAAAGCCAGTTTCAGTTTTATGGTGCTACAATTTCACTTTTACGAGTTTCATTATCAAGGTTTAAAAACATGACATTGGGTGGTCAATCCTTCAAGATACAGGCCACTGCAGAGGAAAATGTTGCAGAGGGAATAGCTAACCGAGCCGAGGCTCAGAGGAACACGGTGCACTCGTAGAAAGAAAATCTGTTTTTCTGCTGAAACGCACACATTAAAGAGATTTCCTTCACTCTCTCCAGACTAGTTTTCCCCCCACATCTGCTCTTCATGAAATCAGTTAGGTTCATTATTAGAACAAATTAAATATCAGTTAAATATTAGAACAAATCACCGCAAAGGTGTTCCATTATAAATGAAAATCTTTCGAGAATTTCCACTTATACACAGAAGCGTCAAGTTTCTTGGCTTCCAGCTATCTAAAATAAACAACTATCTAAGAGCCCCCATTATCAAGATGAACAGTTACATAAGGAATTCTAGGGAAATCGCAGAGACAGCCCTTAAGGACACTTCCTCTGTCTACAAACCAGAGCCAAACATACTTTGCTCATCTTTTAGGCATTGTGAGACATTGTGTAACATATTATTATTTTTTTTTTTTTTTACGAGTTATTCTGATTCTTCAAGACCTAATCAGGTCTAACCATCAATCCCAATCTCGGTTCACCAATCTGTATTTAAGGTATCTGACATGGCTCTCTGGAATTCTTAACCTCTGAAGAATTCCTCCACCAGGATATATGGTTTATGAGAGAAGGCACCAAGCCCAGTTGGAGCCTGCACTGGTAATTTCTCCATGCCTGTCTACTGGGAGCCAAACTGTCTAGTACAGACCCCCTCCACCCAAAACCTAACAAAAACACAAATGCCCTCTGTTCAACATGCCACAGTTTCCCTGGTACCTCCAGGCAACAAAAAACCTGAAGTCAGTCATTGATCTCTGAGGGTCGACCTCAACAGGCCTTCCGGGCTGACTTTTGAGGCGCTGCGATGATCAGAGACAAAGCTTGGTTAAGTGGGATGGCGTAACTAATCAAGATGAGCTCAGGATCAATCCCAAACCTCAAATGGGATCTGAGAGGAGACTTTGATCCTTGATGTCTTGGAAGAAGTTTTCAGTAGACTTTCTTTTAGCTTTAAATCCACCATGAAGGACTATCAAGGAAACATATCAATATCTTTAATATTTTATTTTTTTGCAGATGACCTTGCTCAAGAACTTGGTGGCAGCTTACTGGTGCTGGGATTTGAACTCATGATCTTCTGATCAGAAATCCAATGTCTTAACCACTGAGCTTAACCACAACTGCACTGAACAGCCGCATTGCATTCTGGGACTATGAGTCCAACTCTCGCACCAACAGCTCCACTACTCCTACATAGATTTTCTCATTAACGTGACACTAAACATCGCTGAAAAACTTTTTTTTAAATAAGCTAACAGCCAAATATCACAGTTTTTTCTTCTATTCAATGCCACTGTAAATGCACCAGCAATATCGCCCTGTGACATCATAGCAGCTGACAAGCGCTAACCTTTCGCAGGAAAATAACTAAAAATACACAGACAACAACAAATTAGCACGAGAATCATTCAGCACATCTGTAAATAGCTATCTGCTACTTACTCAAACTGCTAATAGGGAAGGTATTGCTCGGCTGTTAAGGTTCATTGTTATTGAGTGAAAGATTATGGGGGGGGGGGTTAAATCTCAGGACTGAAAGCCACTTTTGGCCCCTGAGCAATGTCCTTAACCCAGATAGATTCATCCCTATGCATGCGAAACCTTCTGGGAATTGAACGTTAGAGAAGCAAATGAAACCAGCGTTGGCGAAAGCTTACTCTAAAAACAAATCAAAGTATTCTGGAAGATCCAAGTATTCTAAATGCGTTAATTCCCCGGGGTGACATGCTAATGAATATTTCCAGCTCCTTAAAATAAAGCCAGGCACCCTCTGTAAGCTACGTCTGGATGGAATCAGATGATTTCTAGGAAAAGTAGTTGTTGCATTTCGCCTGAACAAAAACAATCCCCCCTCCGTACCTACATTGAAACCATCTGTGGTAGAGGCTCCAGCCGAGGAATGCGTACATACATATGGTGTGGGAAACAACTTTCCTAATGATACACAGCACAGTGCCCTTAGCCCTGCTCTAAAGCACAATTCCCAGTGTTTAGGATGTGAACTGGTGGGGGAAAAGAAAACATTTTGAAAAGTGGATGCTCTTCAAAATACTGTATATGGCTGGATTTTATGGTAATCAGTGTATTCCTGACCTTACAAGAGCGATCTTATAGAGTCGATTTCCTTATCTGAGGCACGGAAACGACTCTTTTGTCTCAGACATACAGCAATTTTTTTAAGACCATTTCCTCTCCTTCCTGCCTTTGACTCTCTGTTTATTCCACAATACCATTAAGCGTGTGCTATTCTTCTAGTTTTAGAGGGGATTTAAGCCTGGGACTATACAATAGACTTAATGCCGTGAAGGAAGCAGTGACAGTCCAGGTGTTTGTAATCCACAATCTACCTGTGTTAGTGCTGGCGTACTGCCTATGCCGGGTGAGTTTAGTTCTTGGCACGGACTCGGGTTGCACATACAGTATTTACATGTATTTGCCATGCTTGCTCAAGACATCCAACAGAGAGCTTGGAGCTTTGCAAAAAAGTGGGTAGTTCAGTGTACTCCGATAATTTATTACCATGAAAAATCCATGACAACTTGATATTGGGAAAGGCGATTCAGTATTTAAAAATATCAAAGTGAAATATTTCATAGGCATCGATATACGTAAGGTTTAATTTATGGCATCCACAACAGATTATCCGCTGTTAACACATTTTAGCCCTGCCATATACAGTAACATCACGACCAACCAGTCATCTCTGTTTAATAAGACATATCATCATACGTGCGAAAGGATAGCATTTATCTGAATGGTTACATTCCAGAGAGTATATCTGGACAGAGTATGAATAAGATGGAATAAAAAATGCATTTACAGTTCAATGCCGGGTTTTACGGCGCTCTTATGGCAGCCATTTCCTCCAGTTTCTTCCATTAGAAAGCCGTTCTATGGTAATGATACCTCCGTGATTACGATTCTGTGCGTGTGACCATCAGCCTTTGAGTTTAAATCCCAGAGAGCCAGTTGAATGCTCCAAACTCTCAAATTCGCAGCTCTATAGTCTTAGACAAAAGGGATTCTTCTCAGGTTCTTTGGATGGTTAAGACCCATACAGTAAACGAACCATTTCTGAAAGGTGAAACAGCTCAGTTTTAGGGTTCTACTTCGTCCCCTAGAATGTCACAAACCATAGATCTCTTCAGAGTACCACGTAGGACCTTTTGCCTAAGTGTATACATCCTATGATTAAAAACAAACATACACAGTAACTGCAGAGAAGAATAAGTGATAACACGAACGAATCTGACATTTCACAACATTATCTTAAATGTAACTATAAACGGATAAGAAGTACTGTATGAAGTTTTTTTTTTATGTAGGCAAATTGCTCTGCAGGGAATATAGGCTATTCGGGACATGCTGTTATAGGAAAATAACCAACTTTAGAGTCGAAGAAGCCGCCTGACACCTAATGAGAGGTTTAAAGCAGAAAAGAAAAGAAAGATGAGGATTAAAATGATAAAAGATGTACAGAAAAAGATAAAAAAAAATTGAATGGTTCTGTCAGTAATGTCATACATTGGGGTGGTTAGATCAGATGTGTTGGTATTGGGTATTTATAGGCTTATGCAAACATAATCTCTTAATGTATTTGTGATGTATGTGTGATATATTTGTTATATCCTGTATTTGGGAGGTTTAGGTGAGATAGCTAGGCTTTATATTGCCGTACCGAAAGGAAGTGCAGGGTCTCCACATAATCCCGCTCAGTCTGCAGCAGTTCCCTCAGCACGCAAACGCGCAGGCGCAGTTGCTTCTCCACATCCTTTGCGCTCTCGCCTTTGCTCTCTTCACTCATTACACTCTCGTGTTCTTTTCTCCTCCGGTTAAAAAAAAAAAAAGCAAAAAAAAAAAAAAAAAAAAAAAAGAACAAGAAGAAGAAAATAAAGAAAAGATGGAACAAAAGACTTTTGCAAAAGTTTACTCAGTCGAGTTGCTGTGGGTCGAGAGTTGAAAGCATGATGAAAGCTGTCCGGTTCAAGTCGCAATAGTTGAAAGAAGAGGTGAATAAATGCGGCAATCCAGAGGAAAAAGTCTGAAATTCTCTCCTGAAGTGTCCTAAAGTGTGCAGCAGTGGCTTAGTGGCCATCAGTCATGATCTGTGGTCCATGTGCCTGCCCACCATCCCACACACATACACACACACACACACACACACAGCCTCCCTCCTTCAGCACTGAGAGGAGAGGAAAAGCTCAAGCCTGGGGCTTCATGCCAACACCATGCACGGGGAAACACTGCTGATCACATGGGGGGCCATAACATTCCGACACTTTCCCACACTTTAACTGCACCTCAGCATTCTCTCTCTCTCTCTCTCTCTCTCTCTCTCTCTCTCTCTCTCTCTCACACACACACACACACACACACACACACACACACACACTTGGGCCTCCTTTTCCCCAGTGGGCTGTGAATGACATCTAGCTATAGATTGGAGTGGGAGAAGGTTTCTCAGAGTTATGCAAGTCATTGTTTTATTTGCAATGGAAATGGAAGTGCTTTTTTATGCATACATAAAATATGATTCGGCTACAGAACGATCAAGGCAACATTCTCACATGATCTAACACTGTGTCTTCTTCTTTAATACTGCAACTCTTCCTCTCTTAAATATAATCGGACTTCTTCAAAATATACTTCTGTAGGCCTGTAATAATGTATTATGGATTCTTCCTCAATATGAAGTAAGGTTAAAAAAAAAACGCGTCCTGAAGGTAATCTAATATTACGAACTCTTCCTAGATATAATCAAACATTCTGAACTCTTCCTTAAAAATTTCTAGAGTTGCTTAAATCTTCCTCAGTATAAATGAATGTTACGAACTCTTCCTCAGTGTTCCTCAGTGATCTAATATTACAAACTGTTCCTAAATATAATCAAACTGTTCCTCAACATAATCCAGTGTTGTAAACTCTTCCTCAATGTAATCTAACATTATGAACTGTTCCTCAACATAATCCAGTGTTGTAAACTCTTCCTCAATGTAATCTAACATTATGAACTGTTCCTCAACATCATCCAGTGTTGTAAACCCTTCCTCAATGTAATCTATCTTTATGAACTGTTCCTCAACATCATCGAGTGTTGTAAAATCTTCCTCAATGTAATATAAAATTATGAACTGTTCCTCAACATCATCCAGTGTTGTAAACTCTTCCTCATTATGAACATTATGAACTGTTCTGCAACATCATCCAGTGTTGTAAACTCTTCCTCAATGTAATCTAACATTATGAACTGTTCCTCAACATCATCCAGTGTTGTAAACTCTTCCTCAATGTAATCTAACATTATGAACTGTTCCTCAACATCATCCAGTGTTGTAAACCCTTCCTCAATGTAATCGAACATTATGAACTGTTCCTCAACATCATCCAGTGTTGTAAACTCTTCCTCAATGTAAAATAAAATTATGAACTGTTCCTCAACATCATCCAGTGTTGTAAACTCTTCCTCAATGTAAAATAAAATTATGAACTGTTCTTCAACATCATCCAGTGTTGTAAACTCTTCCTCAATGTAAAATAAAATTATGAACTGTTCCTCAACATCATCCAGTGTTGTAAACTCTTCCTCAATGTAATATAAAATTATGAACTGTTCCTCACCATGATCCAGCATTGTAAACTCTTCTTCAATGTAATCTAACATTATGAACTGTTCCTCAACATCATCCAGTGTTGTAAACTCTTCCTCAATGTAATCTAACATTATGAACTGTTCCTCAACATCATCCAGTGTTGTAAACTCTTCCTCAATGTAAAATAAAATTATGAACTGTTCCTCAACATCATCCAGTGTTGTAAACTCTTCCTCAATGTAAAATAAAATTATGAACTGTTCCTCAACATCATCCAGTGTTGTAAACTCTTCCTCAATGTAATCTAACATTATGAACTGTTCCTCAACATCATCCAGCGTTGTAAACTCTTCCTCAATGTAATCTAACATTATGAACCGTTCCTCAACATCATCCAGCGTTGTAAACTCTTCCTCAATGTAATCTAACAATATGAACTGTTCCTCAACATCATCCAGTGTTGTAAACTCTTCCTCAATGTAATCTAACATTATGAACTGTTCCTCAACATCATCCAGTGTTGTAAACTCTTCC